ACCTGGCCCCTGCCTAACAGCAGTTTCTTAATCCTGGATGTCATTGATGTTCTCAGTGGGGACACTCTAGATGATTTTGAAAGAATAAGCTATCTACCCAGAGAGAGAAATGCAGGACACTTGTTAGGGACCCAATGTACTCCAGTGGGCCAGAAGCAGGAGAGAAAGAGAGAAGGGCCCACATGTGCGGTCAGCCTAAGAGGTGGCCTGTTTGGGGGCTGCCGAGAGCCCTCTGTAAGTGAGGAGAGTGCCCACCTGGTTCCATCACATCTTGCTCACACTCCAGGTATGAGGCCCGGTTCCAGCAGAAGCTTCTAGAATATACTGACTCCAACAATATCGCTTCCCTCTTCCTCACGGCTGCCAACAGATGGCTGGAAGTCCGCATGGTAAGTGCTACCCCACCCTGGGGCCTGGGACGGGTTCTGTTAAGAATGTGGAGCTGGAACACGGGGCAAACATAGATGAAGAATAGAAGAGAGGCAGAAGCTGATAATGGGGATCCAAGCCTTCCTGTTCTCCAGCCCTGGTAGTCCTCCACGTCTAACCTGCACCTTCACCCCAAATACCCCAGTGGGGTTCCAGGAACAAGGAGCCTGGAAATGTGCAGGATGTAGAAATTAACAACAATGGAGGTTGGGACAGGGGGTGTTGCTCTGCTGGGAAAGGGTTTGCCTAGTATGCACAAAGCCCTAGGTTCAAGACCCAGAACATGTTTCTGGTCCCAGCACTCTGGGGATAGCAGCCGAAGGCTACAAAGTTTGAGGCCCACCCGGGCTAGAAGAGCCTGTCAGAAAGGGGGTGGCTGGCAAGTGTGTGCCTTCAGTGGGCCATGTGATACATACACACGAAGGCACACTGGGGCCGGTGGTGAGACACAATTCCTCAGGAAGTAGGGTGCGTAACCTTGGAGTAAACATTAGCTCCAAGGCCTCAGCTTCTGCCAGCCCCTTGTGTGCCTGCTGTTCAAATGTGGGGCTGGGGCTTGGGCTGGCTGAGCTGCTCTCTGCCCCAAGGATGAGGCACCTGTGGCTCTGACACACAACAGCCTAGGCCAGCTTCTGTCCTTCCTCAGGAGTACATCGGAGCGTGTGTGGTGCTCATTGCGGCTGCCACCTCCATCTCCAACTCCCTGCACGGGGAACTTTCTGCTGGCCTGGTGGGCCTGGGCCTCACCTATGCCTTGATGGTGAGTGGGCTGGGGCAGGGAGGAGTCAGATGCAGCTCTTGTGTGCCCAGGGCACTGTCCTCAACTGAAACATGGGAAAGATGGTGCACACCCACCTAGGCTTTGCTGAAGGTGATGGGTGAGGAGCATTGCCATTGTAATCTCTCAAGAATCCAGGCCGCCACTGTGCTCAGGCAATTGGTAGTCCACAGAAGGCTTCCAGGGGCTCCTAGTCCTCCCCAGAGTCATCGGGAGGCCAAGCGGAAAACGGTGACCACTGAGCAGTTGTGACCAGCTGACCTCCGTAGGTCTCTAACTACCTCAACTGGATGGTGAGGAACCTGGCAGACATGGAGATCCAACTGGGGGCTGTGAAGCGTATCCATGCACTCCTGAAAACCGAGGCGGAGAACTATGAGGGGCTCCTGGGTGAGAGCCTGTAGAGGGTATCCCCGGAGTGGGACCTCGGCCTTTCTGGGTGCTAGAAAGAAGGTCAGCTGCGGTGGGAGCCCATGGGTGGACAACAGCCACCTGTGCCCTCTTCGCCCTCAGGCCCCACCCACCACAGAGCAGACATCTTGGAATTCCTTGGTTTAGGGGGCTTTGTCAGACCCCTTCCCTGCAAGGGATCCATGGCTCCCCCTGCTGCAGCCCTCTGGAGAGCAGGGTCTCCAGCAGAGGGAGGCTGCCACTGTCCAGCACTCTGAATCCTGTCCTCACACTCCTCCTCATCCAGCCCATCTCTGACATGTCCCCTCTTTCTCTGCCTTTGTCTCTCTGTCCTTCTTGGTATCCTTTTGGCTCACTGTCATTGCCTTGGGCAATATCTCTGTCCCTGACTTTCTCTTCCCCTCTGGCCCTTGTGTATCACGTCTCTCTGTGTATCAGTCCTTTATGTAAATTTCTCTGAAGACCTCAGAACCAGGTAGCAATGGGATCGGTCATGGCCCTACTGCAGGTGGAGAAGTCAAATCCATCCCCGAGCGCCACACTCGCCATGCCACATTGTCCTGCCGTACAGATGCTCAGGGAGGCACACAGGGCCCCCAGTGCCTGACAGCTACCAAACAAGATGTGGGTCTTCCCTGCAGGCCCATACCTAGGCTTGCCCAACTAGCCATCTCTACCTGTGCTTTACTCTTGGATCCCCCAGAAGGAAATAAGCTCAACTCTGGGTCCAGCCTGGCCAAAGAGAAGCTAGTCAGGAAACCAAGACGAGAGGAGATGCTGCACGTACCTGTGCACACCCCAGGTCACAGTGCTGTGATCTCCCACACCTGTGCACACCCCAGGTCACAGTGCTGTGACCTCCCACACCTGTGCACACCCCAGATCACAGTGCTGTGACCTTCCACACCTGTGCACACCCCAGGGCCACAGTGTCCCCCTGCTTCTCTGCTTCCAGATTGGGATCTGCGGCCGCACAGGCAGTGGGAAGTCCTCCTTCTCTCTGGCCTTTTTCCGAATGGTGGATATGTTTGAAGGTGATTTGTGTGTTAGCTGCCACACATGTACACGGGTACCCACAGCCACCAGGCAAGACCTCAGTCTTGGCCTCTAGTTGGGATGTCACAGGAAACCCTGTGACAGCATTGCCTCTCTGTCCTTGCTGGGATCCGTGCCCCATGCTGAATCCATCCCCAGCACCACTTCCACCCTGGTGGCACTTGACCTATATCACCACACAGGGCGCATCATCATCGATGGCATTGACATCGCCAAGCTGCCGCTCCACACACTACGCTCACGCCTGTCTATCATCCTACAGGACCCTGTCCTCTTCAGTGGCACCATCAGGTGAGAGCCTGTACTCTTGTCCCAACCGCAGGCCAGCTTTGCTCTCTGAGCAGAGATGGGGAAGTCTTCAGAGGACGGCCTTCTTCATTAGGCCTAAGCAGGCCCTGTGGGTCCCCCTTGCCAGCCAGCTCCTCCAAGTGCTTCACTCACTGCCACCGGCTCCGTGTGCCCTTCCCAGCACTAGGGGGTCAGAGGCAGACACTGCTCTTTCCCCTGGGGATGAAGGCAGAACCCTGCTCCCTGAGGACTCTCTGTGCCTCCCCCCAGATTCAACCTGGACCCCGAGAAGAAATGCTCATACAGCACACTGTGGGAGGCCCTGGAGATTGCCCAGCTGAAGCTGGTGGTGAAGGCGCTGCCAGGAGGCCTAGGTGACTGCTCCTTACGTAGATGGCTTTGGGGGTAGGGGGCTTCACAGCCATGGCTAAAATGAACCCCGAGTTTGGAGCCTCGAATCTAGCTTGAACTCAGTGACCATGTAGTGCTACCTTTTACCATACAGGGTTCAGAGGTCAAATAGTTTGCCTAGCTCAGAGTCTGGCGCAAGGGGGCATTCAGGGTCCCCGGGAGATAGATTGCAAATCCCCCACACCACAGTGTATCTTTAGCCCTGCCTTGCCTATCCGCCTCCCCTGGGGAGAGGAGTTACAGTGGGCGTAGATATAAGGTATGCATCATATAGCTTGTTGGGGAGATGCTGGCCTAGTCCATGGTCAGTCAGAGCCATGGTGTAGGCACTGTGAGGCTAGCAAGTTGACATCCGGTTCATCCTTCTGGCCAAGGATTCACCAGGATTGCCCAGGGCCCCAGCAGTGCCCAGCACCAGGATGGCCACTGTGCATTTCGTCCATGCCAACGGAAGCCCTGTTCTATCAGACACATCATCCCTGCACATACCCTGACACAGCCGTATACATGGGCTCTACATACACCCCCTTACAATTCCTAAGCCATGGAGCCACTTTATTCACAGCCAGAATTAACTCTGTCCCGCCCCTCCATCTTCCAGATGCCATCATCACAGAAGGAGGGGAGAATTTTAGCCAGGGCCAGAGGCAGCTGTTCTGCCTGGCTCGGGCCTTTGTGAGGAAGACAAGCATCTTCATCATGGATGAAGCAACAGCCTCCATTGACATGGCTACGGTTGGTCCTTGGGATGGCATGTTAGGGAGCAGTTGGCACAGAATGGTCTTAAGCCTCAAGTTGACATTCACATCAAGGGCTATGTGACAAAGACAAGTCCAGCCCTTGAGTGTTGGGAACCTGGTCAGTCCTCTGGGACTAGAGCCAAAGAGAAGATGGACATAGAGTTAGGAGCTGGGGTGAATGGGAGCTGGGCACCATGA